AAAAAAAAAAGAAGGTGCGTGCTCAAGGGACAAGAGAATCTGGCCCTGTGAACAGATGTAGGAGACAGGAGCAGGAGCAGCAAGCAGTGGTTTCTCCTTTCCTGTCGCTGACTTGTCTTGGGCTAAGAGTTTGCAATGTGGTCACTATGCATGGAGACAGGAGATAAAATCTTGTGCTGTTGTACAACATGGAGGTATGAGAATGGATTTTGTGGACTTTACATGAGCTTCGGATTCTAGAAAGCAGAAATGTTTTATTATTTTTAGGGATGAATGAAGAACTGAACCAAGAAGCTCTCCCAAGTTCATTAATAAACAGCAACAAATACACCCAACTCACTTTCTCTATCACATAACCTGGGCCAACCAGGACGTGCACACGAGTGTGTACACACACACACACACACACACTCCTTGCAAGAGTGCCCCCAAATCACACCATCTCAGTGATCACTGACTATGCCTCTCCTACCGAGTATGACCTCAGGTGCCTATGACTGCCCGCTGCCCTGACCACCAGACACCCGCAGCGTCCACCCTCAATAACTGGCTTCCTACCATGGGAGCAACACTCTCTTATTCCGTCCCATGATGGGCTTCCCTGGATCTGACACATAGTAGGCATCCATTAAAGCCAAGGCAAGAGAAAGGAAGGCCAGAGATTTTACAGCTTACGGAACATTAACCTGCCCTGGCTTCCATCATTATCTTGTTTCTTTTTCTCCTGACTCTGCTTCCAAGATCCCAGGGGGAAACCATGATTCAAAATCAAGATCAAATACCTTCTGCTCAAAATAAGTATATTTCCAGAAGACAGTCTACAGATATTTAAATAGATACTAAATTTCCATATGTATAAGAACTATAAAAGGAAAAACTCACAAGTTCACTCTAAGGAAATGGTTAAGTAAATATGGCACATCCTCACAGTAGAAAACTGTGCCACCTTAAAAAAAAACTGTTTAGAAGAATATTTACTTGCATGGGGAAAAAAATCTCAAAAACTACATTTAAGAAAAAACAGCAAATTGTACAATAAAATCTATAGTAGATCTCCTAATCTGGGGGAAATATATATACCTATATATATATGAATGAAAGAATAGAAGGGTACACCCAGGTAATTTTCAAAATGGTTATTTCTGGGTAATGAATCTTTATTCCTTTTATCTTTATACCTTTACATATCTTCCCCTGCACCATGCCAAATTTCCATGCAATGAATTTATAATCCAAAAAGGAAATTTACAAGAATAAAAGCCATATAAACAGTAAATAAGAGAGCAGTCTTGAGAAAGCCTCTGCATGCAAGTCAAGATTCCCAAACTATGATGCTCTCGTACCAGATGTCATGAAGCCAGGAAGGTTGTTTAATTTTCATTTCCCCAGATCAAGCTTCTCAGAAGCTTCTGTGGCTGGGTGAGTAGTTTTTGGCTTCTGGCTACTCTGCATAACAACCCACTTTCTAAACAAGGCTGACCATCATTTCTGGAGAAATGTGCAGGATTTCATACTTCAGTTCTCCCGAAATCTCAAATGGCACCACAGTTAATTTTATTTTTTTTGCTGATTTGCTTGTGCATGAGGCTTATTACTAACCCCAATGCACACACAGACAGGAAACCATAAAATAGTCACCAGACTACTCGGAGCCTCTGGAAGAGGGGTCTCCATGTGTACATGGTAACGTCTTCTTCTAACTGACATGATCGATCAAAGTGGCCATCAGCAGGAACACATCGGCAAGTGCATGGGTCTAATACAAACAATTTCAGCTCTTAGCTGGAAATACGAAGTCTAGTCTTTTCCCTGGGATTAACACAGCATTGGCTGGCTGGCAGAGGCTGCAGCAGTTACTTGATCTCTCAGTACCTCAGTCTCCCCACCTGCACAATGGAATTAATACTACATATCGATTGCCAGTGTGTATCTCTGGCCACACAGAGACATTTCTCTTTTACTCTTCCAATAACCACACTTCAAAGGTCTTTAATGTGCCAGGTATTAGAATTCTAGGATCTCTGGACCCAGTGTTACCCCCACCCTTTTTTTTTTTTTTTTGTACTGAGGATGAAACTCGGGTCCTTGTACTTGCAAGGCAGGTGGCAGCACCACTGAGCTAAATCCCCAGCCCTCCCAGTGTTACTCTTTATCTCCACAGATAGACTGAGATTTGCTGGTGTTATTGGGAGATGGAGGAACCTGTAAAAGTCCTAGAAGTCCTATAAGAGAAAGGACCCTGGGGGCATGTCCTTGAAGAAGTCACTAGAACCCCAGACTCTTTTCTCTCTCTCTCTCTCTCTCTCTCTCTCTCTCTCTCTCTCTCTCTCTCTCTGTCATTTTGCTCCCTGCCCACCATGAATTGATCAACTTCCCCTACAAGCACATCCACCGTAATGTACTTCTTCACCACAGGCCTAAATACAACTGGCTCAGCCAACCATGGACTGCGACCTCTGAAACTGTGAGCCACACAAACATTTCCTCCTTAGAAGTTGATTGCCTTGCTAGGCGTGGAGGCTGAGGCAGGAGGATCGCTGTGAGTTCCAGACCAGCCTGGGCTACATAGTGAGTTCCAGGTCAGTCTCAACTACGTAGTGAGACCCTGTCTCAAAAATCCAAAAAAAAAAAAGTTGATTGTCTCAGATATTTCATCACAGAGACAGAAAGCTGACTGACATAGCAGCAGAGGTACAGTAGAGGAAGAAGGAAGAATATAGGAGAAAAGTACCACAGCCGTATGACCTTGCTCGACAGACATCTCACAGCATGACCGACAATGGTATGAGTTATGTAGAAAGGTGTGGTTTCTCAGAATCACCTTCTAAGCTGGGACTCTCATTGCTACATGGCGGTTGTACCTGAAAATAATTAGACTTTGATTTGTTTTATTTTGCATCTACTTGTTTATTTCCTCATCTTTGTTTTGGCCATGCCACTAGGACATACTGACAGGCAGAAAGCAAAGTCATGGTAAACAAAAGGATGGCAACAGATGCTGCAGCAGAGTCAAGAGAGGGATGATTCCGCTTCGCTTTGGAGGAGGCAGAAACCCTTCTGTGGTCTCGCAGCAGGGAGAGAGGAGGCTCGCTCTCTGTGGGAGGCTGAGCTGCAGAATGCATATCCCCGGAGCAGTTGGAGCTCCCCACATAATACCGCCAAGGAGCCCTGCTCTTTAGATTGAAGAAAATAAATGATAAGAACTCAATTCTGGGATCTCTGGATTCTCTATAATAGCCCTGGAACAGCCCTGTGCCCTCAGAGTCACAGAAGCAGGGCCACCAGGGCCCTTCCTTGTGACACTGGTTCAAGTGTCACTGTGCAGCCTGGCGCAGGGTAGAGAGGAGGCTGTGTCTCCAGGATGTGTCTGAAACAAGTAGCAATAAGGCTTGTTTGAAGTTCGCCTCATGTTCCACACTTTTTCTTTTTTTGTGTGAATCTAACCCAAGCAGGCAATTTCCAAGCTTTAATTTGAAGAGGCCCAGACTCCTCTCAGATCTTTCCTAAGTAAAGGAACTGAAACAGAGGTGAGCCCGCAACACTTGCCTGTCAGGTGTCCTGTGCTGTGTGTCATGGGCATCAGGCCCCAAAGCAGGGAATAATTCACATTGGATGCGTGCAGGAGAATGGGATGCAGAAAGGCATCACTATGGATGGTGCAACCACGAATCCTTATATGAAAGGACTTAACCTTGAGAGTTACATAAGTAGGAACATAATAGCAGTCTGCATTAATATATATATATATATA